CACATTGGGGCTAGATGAAGTACTGTTCTCGCCAGTAGTATCACTTGATTCAGCAACAACTTGGGGGGCACTTTCGCCGCTGATCCCCGCCTTGGCTACATTATTGAAGGTTACTAGGTCGCGGCATCCAAGGATCTTATCGACCTCATCGTAGTAGACGGATTTCCTAAGGTTTCCTCCTGTTTGGTTTTTGTTCCAATCTTTTGCATTCTTGTATCTTTCTATGATGTACTTCATTTTCCGAATACATTTGTCGGCCGTCTTGTTGGACTGTAGCGCTTTCGAAATCTTCTCAGCGATCCAGGACCACGTTTTCCTGCACTTTCTGCTTTCCAACTGATCGTGTTTTTCAGCCCATAGTTGGACTAACAGTTTTTCCTCATCTTTAGTCCATCGTTCCTGGGCCTTCTTGTTCTCGGAAGATGTACGGCGCGAAGAAGTTTGGGATGATTCCGGCATTGAGCGGTCTTCGACGAACGGAAAGGATTCTGACAACGAGCTAGAACTTGCGGTTGAAGGAGATGGGCTTGCAGTTCCTCGATCATTAAAATTGTAAGTGCTAGGCAACGGGTATATCCATCCTAGTCGATATTGAGGATATTGTTGCCCCATTTCATACGGAAAGTATTGGTTGCCAGTGACTGGATTCATGTTGTTGCGAAATGAGAACGTGACCAATTTTGCCGCGAAGTCTATAGCATAGAGACTCTGCTACATATCACCTGTCAAATCATTTCCCAATTAAAACACCCTCGCTATTGTTTTCCAAAATTTGTCTCAATTTGGCCTGCTCCAGAGGTAGTCGACGGCATCTTTGAAGTTTGTCCGCCCGCGACCAAATTTTGTCCTTTGGTGAACAAACCGGTCGCACTTGGTTTTTCATTGTGATGACAGATTTTTGACATAAATAAACAGTTTTGTCCTCTAGTGCGACTTGGCCCTAAGACGGTCTCATGTAATAACACTGGTTACCAAATTAAATTTTGGAAGATTGTGACACTGATCTTATCATCGACAGCAAGAAGATATCTGAAAGTTGAATATCAATGCATTCCGTTTTTTCTTTTAATTTTTCTTTTTAAGAAAATGCTTTTGGCCCAAGATAGAATGCAAAATTGGAAACAGTGTTAAAAATTTCAGAATGTTAATCCGACTTGAAGTCCCTAACTTCAAAATGTGACATTTCGCGCTTATTTGAAAGCTGTTGCAGAATTCCCAACTACGCCAAGGAAAATCTCCGCAGAGTGCTGGTTCAAGAATCAATAGGACTGTATCTTTCCGATTTCCTGCGTTTATTTACGATCCATATAATATCCGAACTTTCTACATTCAGTCGTACTCGATCTTTTTTGTCACAAGATAGTGATTCTATTTATCTGCTCCACACCTAAACTAGGTAAAACCAAGATTGACATTGCTTATTCGTGATTTAGGGGCCTATCAGCACTAGCAGACAAAACTAGAATTTTCCCGAAAAAATCAATGGACAAATTCGTAATGACCAATTTTTGTCTCCTCGGTTGCATCCGCGCTAAAAACGTCGAAGCTTTCAAAAAGCTGCTAAATTCGGTTCACTTCTGGATCTTGTGCGGCCACAATTATCAGTCTGGTGAAGCGGCAACTGGAAAATTACTCCTCCTTTGTAGGTTGCCCCAGCTGAATGAAAATTTTTTCCTTGTTGGTCTTTATAGGGTATTACATTCCAGCGCCTGATCTGCTCATACGGCTGGTCGCTACAATTCGCCAATGGATTAAAACTCCCATTACCGGGATTCATCATAAGTTAAAGTTGTAAGATCTGCGAGTTTCGCAACGAAGGACAATTACTGCAAACTTTTGGTAAGCTGAACACAGTTTAATTATCACATTAATGGTAGCGTTTACGACAAATGATAAACAAGTACATCACGGTTTTGTTTATTTAGTAGATTTTGCCAAGCTTTTACCCGAGACAAATGTTGTCGGCGGGTGCGTTTGAAAATTAATCCGCTTTGGCGAAAAACCATCCATACTTGTAAGGTGTTGGTAATGACAGAAAATTTTTCTAAATAAACAATTTTGTCGCTAATGTGGATGGGCCCTTACTAAAATCGCAAGCTATTTCCTTTTGAATTTATTTTAACAGCTGTTTTCCATTATACTCCGATCAACACTTTTGTAATTTACACCCGCAGGCACGCGAAGCGCTCGGGCCACAAATGACACTACAAGGGCGCAAATAAACAATATTCCCGAAAAAAGTCATGTCATTATCATTATTATCAATAAACAAGGCCAAATGATATCAAGAATGCGAGTTTTAATAATACAAGCTAAGTGAATGACGAATTCAAAGTCACTTCAAACCATCATGTAAGCTGTAGGGCTGATAATGCATTAGCAGCCCGCTGTCAGTCTGTGTGTTTTGAAGAGGCCGATTTTCTATTTGGCCGCGTATATTGATAATAATGGCACATCACGCAACGTCACAGGATGTTCCAACCCAAACGCGCACGCACAATTTCTCTGGACAATTCCTTTTCTAATTATTTCAGACATTTATTGATTTTCTATATCACGAACATTCTTGCTACAAGTCTGCCATCACCGCGCTACGCTCAATTATAAACCTAAATCTTAAGTAACCCAACTGTCATCAAACCCTTAGCTTAATTAAGAAAATAAAGTGTCACGTGATATTACATTACACGATTGTCGCGACAAAAGCTTAAAAAGAAAGTATAAAGCAAGATTTGTGACGTTCACCTATTTCTCAAAATGTAGACATTTCCTCGATAGGCCCTACGACACTCCATCAATACAAAACAACAGCGAGAACTATAGTCACGTTTATAATTATCTTCTCTAGAACTTTATGAAAATGATCCACGAGGCATAAAATGATTTCTTCAGCTTTATTGATAAAATCCAAAATAAGCATTGTTAAAAGAGCTAAACATAAGGTCAACTTCTCAAGCAAGTAAGGGAAGGATAATGCAAACCCCCCTCCGACACATACACACACACGCACACACACATATATATATAAATTCAAGAGCTGTTGTTCGAGGGTTTGTTCGAGTCACAGTGACTCTTACGCTGATGTGCCTCGAAGATGATGACTGCACATTTAACTATTATCTGTTTTATGCAATCGTAGCATGATCATGATGGAACATTTAATTCCTTAAAAGGAGCGTTGAAGTTTTGCCTCAGAATTGTGCT